TCCCCCACTGAGTGAGGCTGGGATTTATCAGACATGTTCAGAAACCAGCCTCTGAGTCAAAAATGATAATGATGGGCACCTGCACCTCTAGTGGGCCTGGGAGGAGGGGCTTCTCTCTTTGGGAGGACACCTGGGTACAAAAGAGGAGTGCTGTGTCCTCAGAGGAGTGGTAGGGGTCACACACTCTGGTGCTGCACCCAAAATTCCTGGCAGAAATGGCAGCTGAAGCCTCGCTCCATGGGGGAAAGACATGATAGGGGAAAGGGCCATGCAGTGCCTGCACCTTGCTCCCAGCAGAAGGTTTTTCGTCCTGGAGCAGCAAGAAATTTCTCTTAGAAATTATAGACACTCACAAAAATTATGCCTTGAAGTAGGAAGGAAAAAAAAAAAATAAGATCAACACAGAGAAGGAAAGAAAAAACGCCAGCAACCCACCCTGTGCCCGGGATCAAAGCTGGGAGCCGTTTGGAAGCCCTTGGACAGGAATATTCCCCGTCTCCTTTGGCCAAGCCGCTGCCGTGAAAGGCCGCTTTGTTCCTGGAGTGCCGGCCCCGCGTTTGCCCCCGCGGACTTTGCTCCCGCCGGCGGCCGGGCGGGCTGAGCTCGGGCTGAGCTCCATCCTCGGAGGGCAGCCCTGCCAGGGGCACCGCCGGCTCTGCCGCGGCGGCAGCGCTTTGATGGGCACGGAGGAGCAGGATGAGGAGCCCCGGCTGCTCCTTTCCCCGCCTGCCACTGAGGGCAGGTATAAGATACCCGGAGCTATTTATTCCGTGAGTGATGTGCGTCCAAGTGCCCTTGTGTTCCTTCTCACCCCCTCTTTCTGCTCTGATTCCTGTCTCCTCCTCAGGTCTTCCCAAACTTTAGGCCAAAGAAACACTTATCCTTTTTTTCCCCTTCTTTTTCTCTCTCTCTTTTTTTTTTTTTTTTTTTTTTTTTTTTAAACAACCTACTTGTGTTGTCCTGGACTATTTCATACATAAGCTGCATCACTCCATGACACTGGAATTTCCCTCCAACAGCTCCTTCTAGGCTATGGGGGGTGCTCGCCTTTTCAGGGCTAGAGACAGTCAGGTCTGGCCAAAATTCCACTTGCCAGAAGTAAGGAGAAGGAGAGTCCCACAGCCTCTAGGTCTCAAATCTCTGGGGTCCTACAACCCCAAGTGCCACATCCCAAGGTTTGCTACCCCCAGCTGCCACCCCAAGCGTGGGAGGGACTCTGAGGCTGACTAAGCCCCTTTAACTCCGGGGTGTCTCACATCAGGCCAGCCTAAATCCTCTCCAGGTGCCGGACGTGGTCACATTGACTGGTTTTGGTGGATCTAACATGGGGCAGGAAGGGCGGCTCTGGCCAAAGCCCAGTCCGGAAAGCTCGGCCGGGCTCTTGCTCAGCCCGGCGGAGCGGTGGGGAAAACTGCCCGGAACAGACCAGCCCTGTGCAAAAATGGGAACCTGTGTTGCCGATGAAAAGTGCTTTCTTTGGGTAGGATGTTTGTGTTTCCTTTGGCAGAGCGGCTCTGGGAGCGTGCACAGCACCTGCCCAGGGCGGGCTGGCTCTGCTCTCCGTGCACCCTTCCTGCCCCTTCCCTTGAAAGTGTGAGCAAAGGGAAAAAGTTTGGGGAATGTTTCAGTGACAGTTCTGCTTGAAGCAGGCTTGTGCCTAGTGAGTGCCTCTCCTGGGCACAGACCTGTGACAGCAGCCCAAAAAACCAGGATCTCTCCCACACAGGAGCCCAGGGAGAGGTTTTTGGGAGGGAGGGACACATCCTGGCCCCCTCCCTCCTAGCATTCCAGTCTGCCCAAGATGCTCAATCATGAGACATGCCTTTGCTTGCCCCTGAGGCCCTGAGACAGCTCATGCTCCTCTTCCTGCTCCTTATCCCTCTTCTGGGAGCCAGCCCCTGGGTTGCTCTGGTTTGCATCAGGGCTGGAAGGCTGAGGCAGCTGGGCATGAGGAGCAGCGTCCTCTCACTTGGAGGGAGAGGTCAAGGCTCTGCCCTGTGGCTTGGGTCTGGGGAAGGGAGGGGCTCTGGGCAGATGGTTTTGCAGAGGGCAGCAGGAGCCCAGGGGAATCTGCAGTGGTTTTGCCCTGCAATGCACTGGAGCAACTGGGTAGTGGCCAAGATGTTTCCCAGGAGCCACCACCACCAAGGATGGGTTTGGAGACAGGAGAGTGGGCAGCAGCCCAGCTGGTGCTCTGGAGCCTTTTCTCCCCTGCTCCAGCATGTTCTCTGGCCCAGGGAGCACAGAGTCATCATGCAGAGGGTGTCCTGGCATCTTGTCCCCTACCCATCCCTTCTCCACAGAGCCAATTTGTTTCCTCAGGGAGAAAGATTTGCCATCAGAAAGAAGAGATTTGATGAAAATAGTAGCCAGGAGAAAGTCTGGAGAAAATAGTAGCCAGGGAGTGGTTTATGCTGGTCAGGGTGAAGCCTCTGTCCTTCAAACCCCTCGGGTGCATGGATTGCTAGTGCTGCTAGTGCTGCTGAGGGACTGTGCCAGCTGAACCAAAATTGGTGTGAGGTGTTTTTTTCCCCTTGGAAGTATTGTCCAGAGTCAGATTTTGTACATTAACATTTTGCTCCAACTTGGATCAAACCCGACAAGTGAGCTGATGACATTTCCCATGAAATGGGGATTCTGGGTCTGTGGCCAACCCTAATCCACCAGTTTGCTTGAAAGCTGCTGTTCACTGCTCCAAGCTTGGATCTGATGCTCCAAGGAGGGAAATGCTGCACCTCGTGTCTCACTGGGGGGAATTGTGGCCCATGGCCGGGGCAAATGATCCCTCATTCTCCTCATATCTCCCTGGGGCCAGGTTGTGCATCCTTGGGGAGGGTCCTGTTCCCAGGGGATTCAGGTTGCACCCTCTGTCTTGGGCACCTTTGCACCCACCCTGACTCAAACATGGTGGGACTGGTGTGAGAAGCAGCTGCCCCAGCTGCATTTCCATGCTCAGGTGCTTCCTTCATGGCAGAGGTGCCTGATGGATCCCATGCACTGGCTGTGTATTTTGAAGTGGGCCAGAGGGGACAGGCAATCCTGTCCCTCATGGTTTTTGGGTAGCTCCAGGCACTGTGCAGCCCATCTCACTGCCCTGCCCGTTATTCATGACCGTGGTACTCAGAGCTACAGCTGCTGGTTGTGTTGCTCCTGCTGCCCAGCAACACGGTGTCTATTAAACTAAACTATTAGACTAAAATAACTCTATTTTGAGAGCTGAAACTGAAGAGGAGAAGTGGAGGACCTTGGTTGCTGCAACAAGCCTCTGGCTTTCAAACTAAACTCTGATCCCTTACATCAAGTCATTTTGGCTGGGGGAGGATGGAGTCTTTGAGATGTTTGGGGTTTGCCCCCCAGATTTTTTTCCCATGAGCACAAACCTCCCACTACAGCATGGGGGAACAGAAATCCCATGAAAGCAGCCTGGGGATGTCTGTCCCTCCATTCCACAGCCTCCCCTTTGGTGCTGTGCCTGGGGGTGCCATGCCATTGCCTGCCCCCAGGAAGGATCCTGTATGTGACTGGGGGGGGGAACCCAAGGGACTTGCAGGAAGCTCTGCGGCGTTGCTGAGGATGGAAAAATCCCCAGGATCTGCCCTTTCTCTGAGAAGACATCTGAGCTGGGAGGTGTTTTTCTTTCCATCCAGTCAGCACGGCCGCTTGGAAATTTCCTACCTCGGCTCCCGGCTGTAATGTTTTCATAACACAACGAACTGTCTGGCAAAGCCCTGAAAAACGATTCGCCAATTAGTGACTTACATCTTTCCTGCAACTCTACCTCATTAGTCTTTATTAAAAGGAAATAAATTAAATAATAATAAAAAGAAGCCAGGCCCCAGGAGCCCCTTGCAGTCCTCCCAGTTTCTCGCTGATGTTTTCCCTTCGCTCCCCTCCCACTTGGGTGCCCAGTGCTGCCAACAGTAGTCATCAGCCCAGAGTGCCCATGGCTCATCCACTGGGAGCCATGTGGCTCCTGATGCTCTGGGTGATGTCTCTGAATGGCTGCATCCCTCCAGCATTGTGTCCCTTCCCAGGAAGGACAGGGGAGCAGGAGCACCCCAAGGTGCTGTAACATGGGCTGAGCTCCTTGCCGGGTGTAAACGACAGATGCCTGAGCAAGTTTTCAGGGTCCGTGCTCTCCTGCACCATCAGGGACTCTTCTGCTTTTTTGGGTGCTCCCTGCCTGATGGTGGAGGGTCCTGTGGCGTGAGTGATGGAGGGAATGCTGACTCAGCAGCTGAAAAGGCTTACTTGGCAGTGTGAGAAATGCTGATGCAGCATTTTTTTAAATGGTTGACTCAGGAGGCTGGAAAAATGTTGCTCAGCAGTCTGCGAAAACGCCGACTCACGGGGCTGCAAAAGCACTGAGCCCCGCACAGCCACAGCAACTGCCCCTGCCCTAATTTTCCAAGGATGCTGCTCTGGCATCCCAACCAACCCCCACGTTTAAGCGGCAAAACATCCCCCACAGTTTGCCCTCCTGCCATCACCTGTGTTTGGAATGAAAGAATACGAGCAGCATTACCCCCAAACTCACTGATTTTTCAGTGGATTCAGTGCCTGGTGCTCACGAAGGAATTCGGAAAGCGAACAGTGATTTCCCCAACTCCTGCAAAATCCAGGCGAACGGATACAGCCGAGCCGGGTCTTTGGGAAGCCTGCTCAGTGCTGCAGCCCCCACCCCTCAGCCCCCAGCACCGGGATCAGCATCACCAAACGTGGTTTTCCCTGGTGGCAGGGGAAGCAGCCAGGCATGCAAGAACACTGCTGATGGCTCCTGCTCTCTCCGAAGGGGCTGCAAAAGGAACGCAGGAAAGGCTCCATTAAGGAGCGCGCGTGTGCTACGTGTATCCCTCCCTCGCCCCAGCCCCGAGAGGGGCTTTCTCTCCAGCCGAGAGGAAATCAGACCTCTGCAAGTCTTTTTTTAAAAGCCTCTGTTGAAGATGATGCCCGTGGCCTCGGCTGGGAGACAGACACAGCTAACACCACGACAGCCCGACCACGCTGCAGTTCTGAATTTATTAGAAACAGCTGTCAGTACATCCTTCTAAAACATTACATGTCAATGTGCTTTATTGCAATTTTTTTTATTGCATTTTTTTTTTTTTTTGATCTAGAGCAAGTAGGCCCAGGATGCTTAGTGTCTGGGATTTAAAAGCCCAACCATCTAGTAAAAGAAAGTACAGCAAAATTGTAACACACCTGGTGACAAGTACAGTGTTGCATTACTGAGCTAGAAACTACAGGATGACTTGTCAGAAAACACTAACATACACTTGGTTTCCTTATGAAGCAGTTTGTTTCTTTTCTTTAAAAGTTAAACTACATGAATTCCTTTTTTTTTTTCTTTTCTTCCCCCCACCCCCCTCCCCGACTACACCATAAACGACAGAAGAACAGATTTTACACAAATAACAAACAAGAGTACCAAAGTTACATGCTGGAATTCATCTGGAAAACAAAATAATTCCATAGCTTCTGGAGAAGCAGGTTCTTAACAGATGCAGTTTCCCTTAAAGAAAATAGAAGTCAAAGAAAAGCAGAAACATTGATGCAAAGGTTGTACAAAGGAGTGTGCTGTTATTTCAGCCCTCGACACAAGATCAAACACCCACTCATGCTTTACATTGAACCACACCTTGTACAAAGAGTCCACTCACAAAGGGACACGCACCAACACCACCCATTGCACATCAGCTCTGGACAGGGGGCACTGAGGGGCGACTGGAACGTGCAAACGATCACTGCATCTTGCAGGAGAGCAAGAGGGGTTTCTTTTGCTAAACCTTTTCTTGGGACAAAGTCGAATGCTTTGTCCCAGGGTAAGTAACACCCCAAGTCAATTCGGTTTACAAATAGAGTAGTAACCCCCAAGGAAATCCAGAGTTCAGCATTTCAGAAGCACATATGCAAGATGAACACAATAAACTCCTTTTCATTTGACAAAAACCAACCCAATTCTGCCTGAACACGCGGCAGAATGTGCTAACAGTGAATTTTGTTTTATTTTTAAGGGGCAGTGCCACTTACAGCTAATGCATATACATGTGTACGTGAATATATTTTACATATATCTATATACATACAGTACATATACACACACGCACGCGCACACACACGCACACACAGATGATGCAGACCATTACAATCCCATGGTGCAATAAACAGCCAGATATACAAAATTAACAGGTTTCATCAAACATATCTTTGCTGGATGTAGAAGTCACTCACAAAAACAAAACAGACCAAAACCCCAACCCAGCCAACTGAACGTGAGCCCCACCCCGGCAGCCAACAGAGACCCGGGGGCAGCTCGTGGCTGGTCCCAGCATCCTACAACCCCCATGAAGCGACGAGACTGGTGCTGGGGGGTGATATTCACCCTTAGAGACCCCTTCTGTCTTTGGATGTAATAACTTTCTCCAAATGATCCCGAGCCTCTTGCTACAAGCACTTGGAAAGTGCGTGGGTGCGGCGTTGCTGAATACAGAGGGAATTTCCCTTCCCCCCCCATTTGCCAATGTTGATCTCACAGAAGTGATCCCAGGGGAAGGTGGTGGAGGGGGGCATCAAATTAAAGCTGCTTTCTCTAATACAGGTTGATCAACGAAGCATTTTTTTGTATCAATAAGGGCCCATCTCTTTTTTTTTTTTAATTGCCTCTGATGCTTGTATTACATTTTTTAAAGGCAAACTTTAGGACAAATGGTGAGTCTACTCATGAAATATGGTGAGTCTATGCCAATAAGCAATTTAAAATATGCAAATTCTGCATTAATTGTATGGAGCCAGCCCCAAAGACCAGCACTTCAAGCACTGCCATCATCTAAACAGTTAACAAGCTAAAGCTCCCGATCTGCCCCTTTGAACAAACAGGAAGGAACTGAAAAGATTTCAAGAGAGATTTTTTTTTTCTTTTTTTTTTTTTCCCTTCCCATTCGGTGGAAAGTATTTCTGCCCACAGAATGCAAGATTCACAAAAATGTTGGACAAACTTCATGTAACCCCATCCAAAGCTGCTCCTCACGCAGTACTTAACCGGCCGAGCCGCTCCGCGAACAGGCCGGCGCTTATTTGGGCTGGTGACTTGGTTCCCTTCTCCTTGCTGCACACACTGTGCCAAGGGAAGCAAAGGGATCAGCAATGCAAGTTCCCTTCCAACACAGAAAGGGGAGCAACTCCTTAAGGACTTATGTTAATTCCCTAACTCTCTCCTGGCATGCACATTTAAGGAGAGTATAGCTGATTATTCCAAAGGGAAGGGTCTGCTCTGGCATCTCCTCTTATTTTTGTGGTTCCAGGCGGAGGTCCTGCTTCATGGTCTGTCTCCTGCTTCAACAAACTACAACCAGAGGGATGCTTTAGGGTGCTGAGCCTTCCTCTTCATTAAAGCTATTTGCTTTGAATGCTGAACTTGAGCGAGCCTGACCCCCCTCCCCTCACAGCATCTTCGGGAATGTTATTTTGATTTTGCTCTTTCAAAAGCAGAGGTTGCAAATCAACATAAGGAAAATAAACACAAGAAAATTTGATTTTAAACGTGACCTGAACAAAACAACCCCCAACCCATCACAGCGCTTTGTAAAACTGCATTTTGAACCTGTCTCTTACCCCTACTGATCCACAAGCAGTACCTGTTTCATGTCTGCACAATGCAGCAAGCATACAAGACTCACTAACATTTCAGATTTTTATTCCCTGTTAGTGTAACAAAAATAAAAAATAAACAGACATTCAAAAACAGAAGCGAGATTGTTCAAGTACCAAATAAGGGGCTTTTCCAAACTTAAAGTGTGACACTCCTATAGCAATTCTGCTGTTTTAAACAGCCACAGCATTCAGTTACAGACATGGTGCCACCCAAGCCCGCAGAGAGCCCAGGATTTGGGGCAACCAAGACCCTCCTCCTTCTCCTGTCCTCACTAAAACAGCACTAAGTGTCAACATTCATTTCCACAGTCCCATTACAGTTGCCTGGCTTTGTGAAGGAAAAACTGACTTTCGCCCTGCTGTGACTAGAATTCAGGTGTGATTAAAGATAAGATCTTTCCCTGGAAATGGCTTTTGGTTGTGGAAGTCTTGCTAACACTGGTATCAGCGAGAAGAGAATCAGGCCCATCACATTAAATGGAAAACTTCTTGACCATCTGCCACATCAGGAGAGATGAGTGTGGAAAGAGCATTTTATTTTTGGCATAAGACAGAGGGTTGTACTGGATATAACTCTAGATTGCAACTACCAACGGTGCAAAGCAGTGACTCAAATGCACTGCTGAAAAGAATTAAATAAAAACCAAAACACAAGCCACAAAACTAGAGCACTCCAGAATCAGAAAGTGAACAATCACATATTACTGCTCCACATACTAGTGAAGCATCTGTTGGGACATCCCTCTGTTTCTAGGTTCGTTCTTCCCATGCTCACATAACATGTAATCCATAAAGAAACTAGTGGGAAAAGATTTATAATTTACTAACTTCAAAAAATATGGCACTCGTGGCTGACACAATGGGGCCAATGGCAACTGTGGAAGCAGACCTGATTTCCATCCATACCAATATAAAACACCGAATCACCCCTAATCCCTGCAAATATACTTCAAAACAGATTAGAAGTAACTGTGCATATTCGAGTTTCAACGTCCCCCTCCCCCCTCCTCCCCCCATTTAACACTGTGCAAAAGTTATTTATTTAACTCTACATATATATTTAATACAATATGGGTCAATGAGATCAATGCTCCTCTAACTGCAGTCTGGCACCAGACGGCTGCTACAACAGTGAGACTATTTCCCCCCTTTCCTCCTGACGTTCTGACTCTTAAAATTAAAACCTTCTCACATCTTACTGTTTTAAAAGAACTTGAGTTCCTTTGTTTTGCCTTTATGTTCGTATTTCCTGTATTTGTTTTAGGTTTAACAGCTGCTTTTCATCCTGGGGTGTAATCCTGCACCTCTCAGGCCCATTGCTGATTTCTCAGCCATGCAAGTGTAGAACAGCTCCTGGAAGCTGTGGGTTTTCTCACAGGTCTAATGACACTGAGCAAACAAAATCAGGTCAAGCACAATGAGAGGTGCAGGACCAAGCCCTTGCCTCATGGATCACACCAGCTACATGTGTCAGTTGGTTTTGTACCCATTTTCATTTGCTCTGTGAGTCCAAAATGGATGCAAAAAGGGGAACGACTGCAGCAGCTGCAGGACTTCAGGTGCCTAAACCAAACACAGAGATACAATGGCAAAACAGCCTCAGGGAGACTGCTCAGGATAATGGAGCCAAACGCAAGGACCATGGTCTTAGTCTGTCCATGGCCCTGATCTGAAGGTCTGGGCAAAACAGAACTTCAAAGAACGCTTCAAGATGGCTTATTGGCTCCGAGTCCATCATTCGCACATCACCTGTGATCAGCGAAAAGATCTCGGAGAGCAAAGGGCCAAGAATCTCAACTCACTCACACCACGATAAAGCCAAGCTACCTTCACAGACGTTAATGGAATTACATTGTATTTACCTTGGCAGAGCCAGGGCTGGAGCCCGGACCAAGACCTCACAGGATCAGTCAGATTCCACTACAGGGAAACTTCAGACAGCCCCGCTCTGCTACCCCGCTGCTGTCAGTACTGCGAGGGTGTGCCAGGATTTATGAGCCTGGAAGTTGATCTGCGCTTGTTTAAAACAAAACTGAACCCTACCTGAAAACAGGGCAGAGGTGAAACACTTCAGCCAGGTTATCTCTGTCACAAAATCAGGGATCAGAAATATGGGGCCCATCAGCCTTGAATGTTAACGCTGTCAGTAAGAGGAGAGTCCAGAGAGATCCCAAGGGCAGTGAAAACAATCAGACACTCCTCCCACACAGATTTCTCCACAGGCATGAGGCACCTGGCTATCATTTGTGCCTTTGAACTGATTTCCCTCATTGGGCATTTGGTCTCAGCCCAGCATCAAGGGAATGCTAGATGCTCAAGAAGTGTGAGAATGACAGCTTTACAGCTACCAGATTAGAACTGCAAATTATCCAAAATGTAGGGCAAGTTTCTTTATAAAGAAAAGAATTCCATGTCCACATACCACTGAGGAATCCATTCAAGGTTTCCACTAACAGCAAAGGCTATGTCTCATTTTTCCTTTTCCTGGGGAAGTAGGAGAGAAGGGACACACTAGCAGATGTGTTTCACTTTTGACATAGCAACTTATCTGGATTTTATTTTTCTCTCACACAGTCTTGGTTAAGTTTTGAAGTGTTTCATTTAATGAGAAAAGTGGCATCTACAGAATTCTTTGCCTGAAGATTGCACTCTGGCCGATTAGAAAGTGCCTGGGATGCATCAGGGTCATTAGTGCAAAATAAAACATCTCCTGGCATGCCAGGCAACCAGACTACCCTTCCTGCAATGGCTGTCAGTGCTCCAGCCTTGTCACTTCCCTACTTGCAAATTCAAGACATTCAGTAAAATAATACTTCTAGTGTAAACATTATACATCAACAAGCCTGGCACTACTGCCCAGGCATTACAGAAAAAAGTCATTTGAACAGGAAATCAGCCCCAGGGTCAGAAACGGGTCTCCAGCATTCTCAGACCTGCATGACTGTCTGCTTCCTGTCCTGCACAATGGGTGCATTGCAAGGGAAACGCTTCCAGTAATGGGAACAAAAGTAACTTTCAAGGTTGCACACTGAACAATTACTTTGCCAGTTGTGCTTTGATGCCAAGTGGTTCAGTTTGCCAAACTTAGCTCTTTTTCATTTTAGAAGCTTAAGGAATGGAAATAAGCTGCTTTGTACACTTTCCAGGGAGGGGATTTATTTGATGATTGCTGTAGTTGATGAAGCCCAGGACTACCCACTCCAGTATCTGACAGCAGCCCTTGCCAAAGGATGGTACCAATAATCAAGGAGTATGGCTTTCTTCCCTTCCTGTGTTTTGCATCATGTCCAAAATAACTACAAGGGAATTTAGATTATACCAGCGTAAAGTCTTGCTTGGCTGCAGTGGTGTGAGAGTTTAGAACCCCTCTTGCAAAGAACAAATTGGAGCAGATCTATGATTACCATGCTCACCTCTCTACAACTGGGAGTGACTACACCTCACCAAAAAATTTGGTACAATAAGCCATCCAGAAGCATTTGATTACACTGACCTCTTCTGTACCAAGATCAAGCTTTACAAGAGTCTGTCATTGTTCAGCAAGAGACCTGCAGCAGGTGAGTGCAAGCTTCCTTCTGGTTTACATTCTGAAGCACAGTATCATTAAAAACTGAAAACAGAATCCCAAGCCGAGGAATGGGAGGAAGGGGGGAGTGAAGAAAGAGGAGAGTGAGCAATTACATCAGATCAGACAAATTTAGTGTGTTGAAGCCACACAATGTTTAGCTTTTCCTTTTATTTGTTTCAAGTTTTGGTGCAGAAAGTATGTGTGGATGCTAATGCAACCTCCCCTGTAAGTGTTCAATCTAGCAACGAACAAAGTTTTGGCATGTTCAATTTGGTTATGTTTCCTTTAAGCGAAGACCTGTAGTGCCATTGAAACCAAAACTTTGTTACTGTTGGCAAAAAAAATAAAGCAACTTTCCTTTTACAAGCATTTTTCCATTTAAACAAAAAACCTGAAGCTTTCCCGTAATTCCTTTGGTCTTCTCTCACCAAATTCCATGCTACCTCAAGACAAGCCCTCTTTTGGAAGTCCGGCTGAATCGCAGTGAAGCTGCTAAAATTAACAGAGAAGAATTGCTGTGGTAGAGTTTCCCCCTAGTTCGTTGGGAGTTTAAGACTGAAAGACATTACTGATGCCTCGAGTAGAGGATTCAAATTGTCTCTACTAGAACAAGAGAAAACAAAATCCAATTAGAAGTTCCACTGAAGGTGCCTGGCAAAAAATTTTCTCCGTAAGATGATGCTTTGCTTCCAGTATTTTTGTATGCGTTGCGTTGAGTTTATTCCCCTCATAAGGAAACAAAAGTATTGGTGTAAAAGCACAGCTGAGCTTTTAAGGTAGCACCAGGACACCTACACCCAAGTTGTCGTCTTGTTGCTGCTAGGCCTCTTTTTGATTCACATTCACAGAATCACTTCTTGTGCAAAACAAGCAGTCTAAGGAGAAAGAATGCCCTCCGAGTTCTAATAAAAATCGTAGAAAAGAATCCAAGATAGCCAACGCTTTCCTCCTCCCCAAAATTTACCTGCAGAGAGAGGGGGGCATCTGTGCGTAGACAGGATAGGCAAGCCTGACATTTAGGGAATCATTGTGTTGGACAAGGGATGTCTGCTGGTAATGAAGAACCAAATCCTTAAGTGTGCTGTACAGGTTGTACGGTTCTGCAAACCCGTAACCTCTCGGAGTGCTGTAGATCACACAGTGTTTCACCTCTCCATCAGCTCTGCAAGGAAAGGAAAGAGGAGAGTTTAACATCAAAGGACAAACCCAAAGTGACAGTCTATTAACAATTAACTAATGCAGCAGCCCCGCCAGTCACTAAATTACATAATGGAGGACCCAGTAGATGCAAGTAGAGGAGATTAATATAGTCTGTGAAGAAACAGTGCTTCAGGGCATGCGATTAAACACTCTTGCATAATAATCCACATAAGAGGCCTCTTCCATCCCAGCAGTACAATTCCCTACTGCATTGTTCTCCAAATGTTCCTTGGAAAAAAAAAAGTCAAGAGCTTAACCAAGAAGACAAGCACCCGAAGTCAGCAATGACTTTGTGCTTAACTTACCTAGAAACCTTTCCACTAAGCAAAGAAGCCAAAATCCACAAATTCTCAGGACCTACAAAGTACTCCATGAAATACAGCACTAACCTTCAGTGTGCATTTTTTAATGTTAAGCACGGGATGGATTCAAGCTGATTCATTATCTGAAGCCATAGCGACCGAGTCTCTAACTTGGCAAAGCAGCTACTGGAACGCAGCATTTCCAAAGCTGCTACAAAAACTTATCTGCCAGAAAGATCGAGCATTATGTAACCCCTGTACTGGAGCCTGCTACAATCCGAGTCACATGTAGGGACAGGTTACATTATGCCATCCCTCTGGGAGCTTGCAGCGGGATACCGACCAAGAGAAAGCATCTGAGGAACCCATCACTACAGTGCCTGTGATAAACAGTACATTGAACAGAGCAGACACTACAGTATTCAGCTACCTTGAGGTGCTTTACCTTCATGTATTCATTTCTCGGACCTGCGTTCAGAAGCAATTAACCTCATGGGAAATAAATCAGCGGGAGCCATTTTGCACTCCAGAACGGGCTTGGAGGATTTTTAGATAACGGAATCAGTATTTCTGACCTCCATCACACCAGCATAAAATGAAGTGAAATACAAGAAATCAATGCAAGGCTGTGTGAATGTCGTAAAAACTACGGCTCACAAATAATGCCTCCTCTGAAGCATCACCATTATCTTAAACACACAAGAGAAAGATTCAGAGTTGGGTGTGTCTGAAAATGAGAACAGAAGATGTCACACCTTTACAGTCGTGCTTTATTTCTTCCCATGTGTTCTTTAGCAGGAATATGGTAGAATTCAGAGTTAACTTACTTATAGACTGTAGAGCTTCAAGTTGGGATACTTCAGAATTTTGTATTAACTACTGTGGCAAAAACAGAGACTGCAGGACTACAGTTATTCCACGTTCAAAGCACATTTTTGTTACAAAGCTTATACCATGCTGGTCTTCCTGCAAACACATTCCAATGGGTAGGCCTAAGCTAGGCCTGGCTTTTGTTCTCCAAAATAAAAAGCTTTGGTAGAGATTTATGTATTGAGTAGTTAGAACAAAAAGGAAAACAGACTTACACCACAGAACAAGCGTAACATCCTTTCTTGCTACTCTCGCGAATTAAAAATGCTCCATCAGGTTTCCCACAGAGCAAGTCTTCTGCTTGGATACGGTTGAGATCTCCAACAAACCAAGTTTTCTCATCATGATGTGGCAGGTTTTCATCTTCTTCATTCATAAAGTATGTGCTGAAAGAGAGGTTAACCAGTGATCAGCAAAGGAGTTGGTAAGCAGAGTTATTTATTTTTGCAGAGTCATGCAAAGAAATACCAGAATTGCCCAAACTGGGAGGTCAGGCTCCTAATGGACATATATTAAAGGTTTCCACTTAGAACTTCATTGTTTCCACTTTGTTTAATCCTAAATGTTTCAGGAGAGTTGCTCCTTCATATGACATCAAGTTCCCCTAGAGACTTTCTCCTTTTTTCTCCAGTCCTTTACTGAAAAACTGGTGTTTTTTGTTACCAAACCCCACAAGAGAAAAAGTTCATAGATGGAACACTTCTCAACAAAATCATATGTACAGTGACACTTACTCATCAATATTTTCATTTTTGATCCCCAGCCAGTCGTTTATTCGCTTCTGTCTCACCCCTTTGTGATTGAGCCATCTGCCAGAAGAAGAGAGCATTAATACATTACTTCAGAGTACGTGTATGGGTTTTCTTACTAAGCAAGCTCAAGCTCAGACACAAGGTACCACAAAGAAACAGTCTGTGCCTAACTCAAGGACATTAGGAGCTGGATAACAGGAGTGTTGGTGAAATCAAGTGTGGGTATGAGCAACATCTGACACACCTAACAAAAGCAGTATTAATCTCTGTCGTACTAGCAGGCACAGATTTTGTTTATAGCTCATTTATTTTAAAATTTTTATGTACAAGAGTTGCAGAATGTGCACCTATTTGTGGCTGGCTCTTTAAATAATGAAGCCATGAAGAAGTCAACCAATATTCAAATATCCCATGCCAGAAAGTAGCACCTTAGCACTCACAGAACTTTGGTTATGAAAAGAAAATTAAATTCTCATTATCCTGATGGAAACAGTCCTTAATCAGGTTCATCAGAGACACTATTCTGAGGTACGGGTCAGGCTTACTTACACAAGATACTGATCTCTGATTTTGCGGAGCTGAATTAGGTCAGGCTTGATGCTGTTCATTTTCTTATCAGTCTCCCTGTTGTCCAGAGCTTGTTTCTTCAAGTCTTGTTCCAGGCGCATTTTACTGTCATGGATCTCACCCAGGCGGGATTTTAATTTTTCATAGTTCATCATTATCCTGAAAACAAGTACAATATTGGAGAGAAAAGGTCAACTTCAGTCTAGGACTGAAGAGTATCACAAGAAGTACCATAACAGCAGCTCCTCCCTTTGACTGCCTCATCTTCACATGAAAACTACTGTAAGAGTGACAGAAAAGACCTCTTGCCAGAGGGCCTACAACCTTCAGTTTACCTTAATATACTTCTTCCTGGCAGAGATGCAGGAACAAATTATCCAAAGGAGGGTAAGCAAGAACAGATTCCTCCTTCACTGTCAGATTCACTTTGTAATATCAATTATGCAATCCCACTGTAGGTATCAGGACTAGCAAGATTTCAAATGCAGACTTCAATTACTATCAAGAGCTACCAGGAAGTAATGCTGCCTGTCTCTTCTTTCAAGACTAGTTTACAGGTTTGGTATAATTCAGGAGAATTACATATTTTCCCTGTTAACTGATCTTCGTTCAGAATGAAGCACCACAGTTGTACAGTAAGATTGTTACAGGTAACTGTTCTTAGTCTAAAGATCTCCTTAAGGTTACCCTACGTGGTTCAAAAAACACTATGAAAAGTTAGGCATTATACCTGGCATTTCTTCAAAGGGCCAGATACAGCTTTTTCTGCTAGCACCCTCACAGAAAAGCAGTTTCAAATGAGGTCCTTACTGAATTTTTTAGATGACAGCTATTAAATATAATCTTTGAAAATGACTAAAACTGACTATGGACTATGAGATTCACCATATCTATGTACGTTTCACAGCTGAAAAGTAAAGATTTTTCTGGATTACGTTCTGAGCAAATCCAAACAGAAGTGGAAGAAGCAAATTAAATTATTATTTCCTAATTCTTTCCTGGTCCTCATCACAGTACCTTGATTTACTGAAGTTAAGAGCAAGACCAATCCAGAGATCTCTCACCTCTGCTATCTACAATGCAATTCCTTGACAGAAGAGAGCTTTACTGGAGAAGGCACTGAGCTTACAAAGTGGTTTCTATGGTGCTTTAATGGCAGTGTCCATGTGGACACTAGTTTTGCCAGGGAAGCAAACACAGCCTGAGCTTACCGTTCGATTTCTTTGTCATTCCCCTCCCTGCGGAATCGCTCAATGTACTCTTTGCTGTATCGCTCTTGTGAGTGGCACTGCTCCTCAAATATCTTAATAGTTTCATTAAATGCTTCGATTGCAGTCCTCTTCATCTGGATTTCCTATGTAAGGAAAGAGTCCTTCATCATTTGTCCATAATACAGACAACAAAGCAAGACCCAAGTATATTCCCTAAACTGACTGAGAAGACCATCTTTTCTCCCCCCACTAAGTCAAAATGAAATTAATCAGTTTTAAATTTAGTCAATTGTCCAAGTAGAGTCAGGGAATAACAGGGCAGACTTACTCCCTGTAAGTCTACCCTCCTCCTCTACACAGTGCTCTCTATTAGGCTGCAAACCCCTCAAATATTTTAGTCATATTTTCCATCTTAGTTTTCAGGAAGACTGCCAGCAAACCTCCTCCCCATATATGAACTATCTTATTTTACAAGAAGCAGTCCAAATATCGTATTCACACTTCCTTAATGCATAATATCTGGTAACTGACTCGCACGTGACTTCACAAAAAACCTGGACAAACCCCTCTACAATTCTCACTGCAGAATACAGCAGCTGGAAATACTCAGCAGCCAGGGAAGAAGTCTGCAGTGTAAAGCTTCTAGGTGTTGGCCTTCTCCACAGCTTTATCTTATACTTGGAAGCTCAGCTCCTCTTTTTTCCTTGCCCCACACCACGCCTCTAGGACTACCAGCAAAAGCAATATTCACTCTTTCCATCACCTCTGAAACTACCTTGCTCTATTCCACAATTTACTAAGTTTTTTCCTTGTATTTTCTGGGTATGGACTGCCTTTATTAGCCATAACAGGTTAAAATAATTTTCTTTACTTTTTAAACAACAAGAAACAGACTCAACAAACAGCCAAAGAAGAACCAACCTGTGATGTTCTGGTATATTCTTCATACAATTTGTCGTACTCTTTGCTCTTTTCCTGATACTGAGCATGGTATTCTTGAAGTTTTTTACCTACTGCATCTATATTATCTTCTTTCACCAACTGATCCTGTGCATACAAAGAGCTATTAAGTCTTCAAGCAAAGCAGCTTTTCCTTAAGAGTATTCATTTGTCCACTTATGCACATTTGCATTTTACAGATATTAGCATCATGTTTATAATCCAGTTTCTAGAGAACATTGTCTCTAAATCCCCCTTCCTTCGTGCAACACATTCCACACTTTACAGACAGTAGGAACTGGAACTGTAGGACACCAAGACCTATGCCAAATACTAAGCTTCCAAAAAGACACCATACCTTACTTTCAGAATTGCTATCCCCTATTCAAGAAAGAAGGAAGCACATTACTTGGAATCTGAAGCTAGAGATCAGAGGGTTGTTTTTTTTTTTTTTTTTTTTTTCCCAAAAGCTCTGTAGTTCTTTTTCCTTAATGCAGGAAAATGTCTCAAGCTACTGAATAAAAGTTAAAAAAATGTTCTTGAAAAATTTAGATTTCTATGCACAGAGTGAGCATCTGCATGGGTCATATGTACTTCAAGGGTAACACTGCCTAGAACAGTGCCTGGTGGGTCCACAAGGGTCCAGGGGGAAATAAAAAGGCTTCTCAGAGGTTCAGCTGCTGCATGCCAGGGTTTCTCTTCTCTTCTCTGCTGCCTGATGGCTGCTCAGATGGAAACCAGAAACTTGACAAAATGAAGCAGCTTAAATGGCTAGAAAATTTGAAAGACCCAAGTGAGGCCAAATGTGAAAACTCCACCTTTTTAGTTTTTCCGTATTCAACAAAAAAAAAAAATAAAAGAAAGAAAAAAAAAATCAAGCTATTCACAGAAAGAAAACAAAATTATTTTTGTTCTTGTCTGCCCTAACAGGTACTGGGGTCTGATGGAGATCTTACCTGCTGGTACCGGGACACTGGATACATCAACTTCACATCGAGCTTGGGGTTATACTGAGCGAGAGACTCGTTGCGGTAGTGGTTAATGAGTTCCACAACTGAATTAAACGTCAGCGGGTCGGAGAAGCCATACTTTCCATCCCGATGATAGATCTTTATCAGCTTATTGTTGCCACCCTTCCTGTAAGGCACAGAGGTTTTACTGTGTCACTCCCATCCCTCTTCAACACTAGGGCTGCTAACAAAGACACCAGCGAAATTCCTGGGCAAGTGGCCTTCATAGTGATTCTTTACACAGTAGCAGTATTAAGTAGTTTGAGAGTCAATACACACAGAAATTATCATCAGATTATTTGAACAGGAGCAAAGCCCAAAGTAAATCTCTTCCTATGTGTTCATTCTGAAGCCAGCTTATGGTATTTAAGTCCAAGCTTTGCCAGAAGTTGTGCAAGGGAAAAAGAGGATGCTGAAGGCTGAATAAAGGAGCCATAAGAAAACCTAAACCCACAATTCCATGCAATTTGGGCTCACTAATAGTATACAACTGAGTATAGATTTATACAATTATTAACAAGTCTTTTGAGTTATGGATGCTAATACAGGATACCTGAACCTAAACAAAATCCTTTGAGGATTATGAGATGGCTCTAAGTTTAGGACTTTATGTTACCCAGATTTATCTGTTCTAGTGGTTTCCACAAATTTAGCACTTATTTCTTCCTTTTTTTCCACCAACAGACTGTTTAGACACTGTCCTGTCCTTCCTGCACTCACAATTCTGGTTCCTAAAGACATCTGATTTCGGCAAAATAAAACCACGCCAAACCTTAGTGCACATGGTGTGAACTTTAAGGCAGAAGTTAAAGCAGAATTTCAACTACACCCTTGGGGTCAAACCTGCTATTAAGGCAATGGAATTTCATGGTAAGATCAAATACCTGCTATATCACAGTAACTCCCAAAGGTGTGCTACAGAGGCAGTCGCTTATGTGCCTCACCTGCTTGCCTCTAACAACCAGTCTTGGGAGCCTGGCAGAGGCAAGTGGCTGGGCAGGCTGGGCAAGGCACCAGAGCCAGTCACATGAGGTCTGCTGCCCAACTGCAGCAGACAGGGCTGGGGCAGCTCTGGGAAACCTTCCACTCGCAGACAATTTTAATGAAGAAAAGAACATGGCTCCAATTCAATATTTCCTAAACGATAGATCAGAAAGCACAAGATACTCCTTTTACAAAGACACTGTACTTGGGTTTCTACAGCTGTAGACTGATGAGATATTCAACACTCTCCCATTAATCAAAGCCCTAGCTTACAAATATCTTTTACCTTAGCAGTTCTGAAACTATGTGGATAGAGCCTTTCCCAAATCTTTGTTGGTGAAGCCTAGCCATGGTGATGATGATCTGAAACTATGAAGCACTTCTGAGCAGCTCTCCTCCCCAAGTCTCATTTCATCCACACGCAGATCCTTACAGTACTGTTTAGTGAGGGACAGGATTCAACGCACAGAACAAAACTGACTGTGTGACCTGGTTTATTTATTTGCTTATTCTGTGATGTGCAGTCCTGGGAACATCTCTCCAGCCACATGAGCTTTACACAGCCATGGCTGTCACTGGTATAGCAACAGCTACTCAGGGTCTCACTGTGTGGGCTGCTAGTGCTCGGTGCTCACCGTAAGGTCAGGGTGTAGTCTCCCTGCATCTTGGTTGATGCGTCGCGCACCAGGAATGTTCCGTCTGGCATGTCTCGTAATTTGTCATTTACTTCTTCCCTGAAGAATGGAAAGGGAGGCAAAATTAGAAGCACTGAGGACATGATCATCTTTGCCATAGGTAAAACATCGGAGTCAGTAACGCCAGCATGCACAGAGTTCAATCTTCTTTGACGTCCGGGCTCTCCAGTCTTTTAGGACATCTAAAGCAAGTCTCAACCTGTGTAGCTGTACTAAAGAAAAGCAGCTACAGTCAACTGCCACTTAGAGAGAAGTCTCTGTTTAAACAACAGTAGCAGCTGTGACTCAGTTCATAACCTTTCCCTGTAATCTGCTCAGGTTTTAAAGTCCACACTAAAACAGGTGCCCTTTGAGAAGCCAGTCCTGACCCCTTAAGAGATGGCCTCTAACATCACAGCTCAAAGGTGCCTAAAGTTTAGCACAGTTTTAGTCTCAAGAGGCTCTTTATTGGCTTAACTCTGATCTTATTTACAGCCGTTTTAAAGCTCTACAACCTTTCCAGCTTCAGGGCAACTCTTCCTTATTTACAACTGAGACAAAAGGACACCCAGTCCAGAGCTTTAAGCTAAACCAAGAAATCTTGTAGTGAAAGTGAGTACCTGTAAGCATTAAGAAAATTATTTCAGCTGAAGAGATAAGCATCTTGCCAGGTTTGAGCATTTCACCCAGATTATGTATCTCGCTTCATAACAGCTCCCTCAAAGCTTTCAGAAGTACTAAGCACTTTTTAATACAATCATTTGGAAACTAAAGTTTCTCAGGTAGCCTCAACGTTGTCTAAGTGCTGTATGAAGCTTAGTTGAATCTTACAAAGCAAAATCAACAGCAGCTTTTTTGCTCAAATACTAAGGAAGAAAAATATTCCTACAGAATAGCCCTAGCTCTGATTTAGCTACATGAAAATGATTCTGTTAGTAAAACTGACTCCTGTGAAGTTTCATGTGCATATTCACTTACTCTGACCATTTTACAGATTGGACCCAGTTAACCCAAACAACTCTCTTTTTGAATTGATAGATACGATCCATGGGTTTGGGCTTGTGCCTGCAGGTTGCACCCTGGAGCTCGTGACAAAATTTCCAGCACAAGTTCTTGACTGAAGAACGTTGCTCCTGCCATGATAGCCCAATGCAGCCCATACCTGCTGGCTGCCAAATTAAGGTCATAAACAATTCCATCTTTACATGCACGTGTATCACGTTTTAATCTAATAAAGCCACTCCAGTGCGATTTGCAGTGCATTAGCTCCTGCCATCCTGTGCACTGTTGATTGAGGAGCAAATCCACAGTCAATAAACTGATACCAATATTGAGCAGTTTTAAATAAACTGTGTCTAGTGGGCTTTGCGATCACTTTTTGCCACTCTGCCTCGATTTAAAATTAACAGAAAAATATCTCTGCTGAGGCCCTTCAAAAGCAAGATCTCTGCGGGTTTACTTTATAAAGAGATAAGGGTGGTGCAATAAAGATATGAAAACTTTTATTTCCTTTCTCAGAACGTCAATAAGTTAATGTGGAAAACACGCTCTTCTTGCCTCTGTCTGCCAAAGTGCTTCAAAGTATTATGTGCACAAGTTTGAGCAATTCCTGATCACACTCCCAGCACGCTCACCTTTCCTCTTACAGTTCCAAATTCTAGACTCTTCAGAAGTGCCTTAAGAGGGAAAGAGATGACTGAACACTTCAGTTCTTTTATGCAAGTATATAAAAACTAGTCCTTCATTTTCTGAACGTAACCCAAGCCATCTATTTTCTCAAGTGCATAGAAAGAGGTTTTCTTAAGAGGTAAAGCTTAATTTATTTGATATGTGTTTCTATCAGCTGCTCAGTATAGCTGGTGAGGGGTAGCATTTTTAAGAGCTATTTTTTATATCACCACGTAATAGAAATTAATACAGATGCAATTTTAAACTAATGTTAAAGAAACCAAAACTAAGAATGCAATTCCTTTTATTCTAAAGTTTTATTTTTATACTGAAACTTCGCTGACCTGCATGCACTCCAGCACTGTATGCTTACAACACCTTATTAGATAGCAGATTCAGATTTTTCTCCTTTTTAAAGACTGTTTATCTGGACAAATTTAGAAAGCCAAAAATAAGTGTCACCAAGACTGGCAATATCTGCACCAGAAGAGCAACAACTTAAATGTCCTCAATCCAGCTGAATAGTTTCACTTAGGTGCTTTGCTAAGTAAAGTCCTGATGTGTTCCCCTCCTGTAAAATGCTGCCTGAAACAGGCATGTTCTTTTTATCTTGAATTGTAGCTGGCTTGATCTGTTTTTAACAATATATTAATACATTTCAATTAATATAGTCTAACAGTATTGCTTACCTTGAGATGTCCCCCCAGTACCATTCTGCTTCCTGCAGAGAGAAGCTGGAATTGTCCTTTATTCCATTCGTATTGACTGGAGTCATTGGTTTGGGGGGCTTTGGAGGAAGAGCTGAAAATTAAAAACAGATGAACAAAAGGTAAATAGAAGATAATCACTAAACTATTAATGAAATCTGACAGTAAAAAAACGAGAGACAATGTGCATCTTGAACTTGGCTTTCAAGCTCTCTCAAATCAAATGGAATTCGTAATTTTATAGGAATTCTGAAGTAAGCAGTTCCACTGTGATCCCAGATTTCCTAGCATCAAACTAAACACTTGCTGGATGGAGTAGAAAAGGAAGGAGCATGAGGAAACACGAGTTTTTGTTAAAAGGAAGACTGGCACAGGCACAACTACAAGGGCAGGTGCCGCTTAAAGCTCCAAACAAATGACAAAGGTGTATTGTGTTTGAAAGTCACAGCCTGGAGAGCACTGGGCACCACTGTGGAAAAACTCCAGTTGCTCAGGCATCACCAGTCCTTATGTCAACTCACAAGAGCAAACAGGTAAACTCTTCTTCAGAGGGAAAAACACTGGCATATCCATCAAAGACCCAAAGTTCACGTTTCATATAAGGTTTGTCATTTAGGCCCCTGCTTTGCAGGTGCTGAATGCTTCATCACAAACACTGCCACACAAAACGCCTGAGTTTCATCAGGCATTTTTTAGGCATTTCATGAGACTGTTTTAGAGAGGGACAGGTCACATTTGAATTCAGAGTAAGAAAGCAACTACACACATTGATTTGCTTCTAGCACATTTTCAAGCCAGACCCTGAACATCTGTGCTCCCAGCCCTGTGCCCTCGCCATCAGATTACACAAGCATCAGCGAGCAGGCCTGACACACTGACAACAGCCATCTTTCAGATGCACACAATCCCAGTGCACAGGCAGAAATACAAATAAAGGGAGCAGAAAGAAGATTTTGATCTCTAGCTTCAGCATGGAATGGCTCAGTGCTGAGAGGTGTGCTACTTGGCACCATCCATCTGCTCACCTCTGAGCCACACCTCCCACATTAAAGAAGAGAAAACAGGCTTCCAACTGCAGTTCCAAACACCATTTCATGTTGGATATCCAACACAGTAACTTCACTGTTCTCAGACAAACCAGTAGATGCTTTAATTGAGCCAATCTAAACTAAACCTGAACCTTGACCCAGACGTTTGCACCCTGGGGTTGCTGACCAAACACCTGATTCAGATAGCAGCATTCATTCTGTGGGACTGAGCATTAAACCGTAGCATACAGGTTCTTTTTATGGGGTGAGCTGGGAACTCTCAGGTGTGCACACATCTAGTGAGGCAATAACACCTCTTGTTGTAAAAGGAAGGTGAAAACCTTCGGATTCAGTGAAGTAGCTTCCTGGTTAGGAAGCTTCGGTTATTCCTAGCTCAGTTACTACAAGTGTTTGTACAAAGCACCGTTAAGAGCAAGACACGGTTCTAACCCTACTTTGCTTGAAGGTCTCAGCCCCATCCAGGGGTCACAGGAACATATATCCAGGCTAAGCCTGTAGAGTCAATTGTATTCACTGTGCTGTTCCATCTCCCCCATTGAAAGTTCCTGAATTAGAAAATGTCTTCAGGTCCTCCCTCCTCCCCACCTCACATCTGGGATAGCAGAGTCTCAGCAGTTCTGAGTCTCATCAGTGTCTGCACAAGGCAGTTAATCCAATTTCAGAAAACCTGTAGATGTTCTGATCTACTTGAGAATCTTGTGTAGATTCTGAGTCTTTAACAAGCATGTGAAGATTCACCTAAAAACCATACAACAATGCAGAGAGTTCTTAGGAAACGGTACCAGCACCAGCAATTATTTCACTGGGTCTTTCAAATTAAGGCTTGGACATATCAAAAACTTCAAGGTATTTTACAGTGTAAAAGCCTGTTTTACACTGGTAATAGGAGCTTTCCAGAAGAGGCTTTCAAGTATTCTCTAGAGTACTTGAATACTTCTCTAGCCCTCCTTGTAAGATTAAGTCTTACTCCTTTATATACTGTGGAATTATTTAGCAGCTTTGTTAGGCCTCACTCCAAAGCACAGGGCATAGAAAAGCAAAGTAACAAAGAGCAGAAAGGTAGGGAACAGGAGTTTGGACACAGAGCACTAGACATTACACCAAGTGTCCCTTTTACAGGTGGGAGCTTCTCCTTCCCTCTAGTAGGCAGGTACCAGTTCTCACTATCAGGGGGATGTCTGCAGAACTTCACCCTGCATGAGAAAACTGGAAGGAAATTCTTTCAGGGAGAAGAATAAGGCTTGGACCGCTTCCTGTAAAACCTGACTCATGGAAGCCAGTCCTTTACACAATAGACTTTTGAAAAATGCTTTTTAATAGCTTGCACATTTCAAAAATACAAAACTATTTGCAAGGGTGGATCCTGTTTCCAGAGAGCTATGTATCTAATTCTTTACTTTCAATACTTAGAGGTCTTTGAGATTTCCCCCTGTACTGGATACAGAACCAGGACCCTGCTAATGCTTTACCCCATAGACCAACATGCCCATCCATTTCAGCATTTCATGGCTACCATTTCAGTCCATGTACTGCAGTCCTGCACAAATGGAGAACTGACACAAAGGTAGTTTAAACCTCACAGCCCAGACCCTGGATGCCACAAGGGGAATATTCTGTAACAGCATGGCAAGTCTATTGCAACAGAACAGCATCACTGCACTGCTGCTCTCATAACACTGGCCAAATGGGTTGTTGAAAGAGGCATCCTAAAATAGTTTTTACTAGTACCTAGACAGTACTAACAGCCCTGCTAGGAGAAATCTTGTGATGTTTCTAGGAGAAGTTACAGAGAGCCTCAAAGAGTCCATGGATTTTGATTTAAATTCAAAATAATCCAGTTTTATATACTTTACTAGATGAACATTAGAGAGCTAAAATCCTAGAGTGAAGTAAAATAAGGCTGGCTTGGAGTCAACAGAAATGCTTTCAAGAGCAGCCGTGTTTCTTTCCATGTCACTGAGCCCAATTCTGATCTAGCCACAGGCACAATCTTACTTTATCTCAAAACAAGCTCTGATTAAAGTGAACGATCCTGATGGTTTCTTGCCTCCCTTTTTCCTGGGAGAGAACGAACATTGATCACAAGTGATTAACAGCACAACGGATCTATCCGTTCTAATAAAGAACTTGCTGTTAGCAGCAGATACACAAGCATCCTTCCCCTGCCATGTCCCTAAGACAGCTTTAGAGCATGGATCTTTCCAAATCCCAAAAGGTGACAGCTCAGCTGGACCCTTCCACTCCCATATGAGCACATTCCAAGGATCAGGTTCAGCCCTCAGCGACCGCCTGGCACGCAGCAGTGAGAACAGACTGTCTCTCCCTCACGCATTTATGGGCATATCTGGTTTTAATTTCTTTAGCAACTCTAGTTCTCTCTTCCTAGCTCAAGCTAGGTTGCCTGGGGAAACTAAATCCCAATCCCAGCTCGGTGTCACTTAGGAGGGGGAAATAAAAAGGAGCTGGTGATGGAGTGGAGGCGATGGCAGCCAATGTGGTCGGGGCACGGGATCGGATGTTGCTGACGTCAGGAACCGAGGGCTGCTCCAGCAGGTACCTCCAGCTGAGCTGCTCCGCCGAGCGGCCGCGCAGGTCCGGGCAGAGGGAAGACCACTGATCAGGCTCTGCCCGGGTAGTTTTGTGGTGCTTTCTTGACTGCACTGAACTCTTCTTTTGAAAAGGCAGCTCAAGACATAACTGACTTGATTCCCTGAAATGCAAACCACCTCCAACACCAAGACAACTGAGAAAGCTGGCAAGTGTCTGAAGTTTAGCGCCGCTGTATTTCTTTTAGAGTCTCTCGTAAAAAGTCGTAGGCTACATTAAACCCGGATTTAACTTGGGCGAAGTAGACCGTGACTTCCATGAGATACACACTTTCCCCAGTTGGGTTTTGAATAAAAAAATTTTACAAGTTTACATGATATAAGAGCCACTGAGCCCTACGTGTGAGGGATTTCAATGGCACTAATTCAGGAATGAAAAAAGAAGGATGCCTCGGGTCTCCATGTGCTACATCCCACACAGCATCCAGTCAAGAAGCCTGTTTCTTCTCTGGCTGCAGTATTTGTGTACAGAATCAACCTGCCAGTTAATTAAACTCTGGTTTTCAGTTTTAAGGCAGATGCCACTTAGCCTAAGAATGACTCCACAACTTATTTCTTCCAGTATGTTTCAAGAGCTGCAGGCCAGATACTTAAAAGCATAGCAGGTTTAAATGCAGCATTAACTCTACCTTACTGTTAAAAATAATCACAACTACCAAGTACTCTGATAAAGTCAATTTTAAGTCCCTTAGCACTTCCACAAGCTTGTTTACTAGCCTTCTTTCTGATGCACTCAATCTACTCTCCCTCCACATTGTGACAAGCAGAAAACAGATCAGAGGATTTCCAAGACACTTACTCAGCTTCAAAAAGGTTGATGTACAGTAGATACCCTGCAAACTGTAATATAAAGCTCTACAGAGTGTCATTACTATGGAAACATGCAAGTTATCTGTGGTTAGGCCAGCTAACATTTTAGTGACATAGTCCTTGAGGAGAGAAGGGTTCTCCCTTTGGAGATATAGATGAAGGCTTGGAATGAAAACATAAGCTAGCTTTTTTGAAAAGAAAAAAATCTCTCCAATCTTTAATTGCTCTCTGCAGTCTTACTCGATTTCTCAAACACTCTTCTCAACTTCTCTAACACTTTTCAGGCAAAGCTTCAAAATCTTTCCCTTCCTCAGGAGTCCTATACTTGTCCCTGCTGCACAAGAAGCCCTCAAAGACAGTTGAGAATAAAAGCATGTACCGAACAAAGGTGCTTTTTGCACGTCATTTCCATGAAAGTGCTCCATGTGTGCCCACCAGAGCAGTGAAGCACCGTGCTCTTGGAGAGGTTTTCCAGCTGACAACGAGGAGGGTCGTGCGCACCTGCTGACAGCAGCTCATTCCCCACCACTGGCAGGTAAATTATCTTGGCAGCTCCACATCTCGGCTCCTCAGTTCTCTTGCCAAGACCCCTCTCGCAGAGCGCTGAGCGCCGGTGCCCTTCGAGGCCG